TTTTTTTTTTTTTTGATGCTATCAATTGGATTATCAACTTGCAAACCAACTAGTGTGTAAAATTCAAAGGAATCTAAACTGAAAGAAGATTCTAGAACAAATTCTATAAGATATATATGAATTGTGAGGTGGTAAATTGTTCTTTGATTTTATTCAAGGAATCTTCTTATCTATCAAGATTGCAAATTGCATGGGATACAAGAGATTTATTGTACAGTTAATTTGAGATATATATGTTATAGAAACACTGGTTAGATTCCTTAAACTTTGGAGTCTGAAAAGGATTCGAATGTTGACTTTTGATGGGATGTACCAAACCAGGAAAATAGGAACAAATTAGGAATAATTCGGAGGTTCTTTTAATCAAATCTGTCACTTAAATCTTATTATATATATAATAATAGTGAACTAATTGTTAATTAGATTTACATCTAAGGAATTTTATTGGTAAAACAAAAATCTCTAAAGCTACAAACTATGGTTTCGTAGATTTGTTAATCGAAACGAACTGTTGGTTAGCTCGGCTCGGCTTAAGCCACATGATTGTAATATAAATTGGAATTAAATTCAGAATTTCGTTAGAATATGTTTTAGTTGGAATTTTACTATTTTTTTTGTAGTGCTCGAACTCGGCTCGCTTGCTTGAGGTCGCGTACGTAACGAGACGATATTGGTTTGGCTCGATAGGACTCAATAATATATTTTTTTTTGTAGTTCGATTCACTGCAACTTAAGCTCGACTCGTTAAGGCTTGAGCTCAAATCGTTAATACTGATAAACAAGTCATTCTTGAGCTCGATTACTGTCTCGTTAAGGGCTCAAGCTTGGCTCGTTTACATCTCTCGGGTTTTGTTACTCTAGAATTACACTTGTAAACGAGTCGAGCCGAGTCGAGCCGCTCGAGCTCAAACCCTTAATGAGCCAAAAATCGAACTTAATCTCGACTCATTTATCACTATTAACGAGTTGATCTCGAGTTTTAACGAGTCGAACTATATAAAATTATATCAAAAATTCTCTTTTCGAGTCTTATTGAGTTGAGTTCGACATACAAGCTGTAAATGAGTTCGAGCTCGGGTTGTTAAGAACTCGAGCTCAAGCTTTAACGAACTGAACTCTAGCCGAACTGAATCAAACTCGTTTAATTTAACAGCACTACCCATAATTACTCACCTACCCACATACTCGCATCATTGCCCACAAGCAAGAAGTCGACATCTCGTAGTATTTTACATTAAATAATTAGTTAGTTTTAAAATTAACTACCTAGAATAGTTAAAAAAAAAATATGATTATTGCTTATTTAATGTAACGAACTGTATTTGTTTTTTATAATTAAATAACTGTAATAATTATTTTCTGAAGGGCAAAGACTGAAATAAGGGTCAAAGCACTGACCTTATCTTTTTATCCTGTCGGAAAAAACAAACAGCTGGTTGAGTATTGTTCACTCTCTCTTCTTTCAGCCCATAAATAAATTCCATCAGATAAAAAAAATAAAAAATTAATAAATATTAAAAAGACTTGTATAAGAAGTGGGTCACATGCATTATTATTTGAACTGAAATAAATGTAATTCATTTGTACTTATCTTCATTTTATCCATTATTCCGTTTAATTCCTATATATCTTTACTTTATTTATTTATTTATTTGAAGACCCACTCATTAAAGTCATCTTCACATATCTTCTCTTTTATAAGATATATATATATATATATAGATGTGATTCAATAAATTGTGGTATATAACTAATAACTATTTGTGATGTGATGAGACTATTATGTGTCTCTTATTATGCTACTAGTTATTGAGACGACTATATTTTCAATTAACTAACAAAAAAAATTATAAATTCTTGTGAGACAGTTTAATTGTGAAGTGAGTCAACTCGCATACTCGTAGAATAAAAATAATACTATTACTCCATGTTTGTTTCGAAGGGATTAGCCAGAATATCTTGTCTTATTCTTTCTCTATCCCATGTTTGTTTCATAGAATTCATGCTCGGGATGGAGTGCTCGGCCTGGGATAAACATGGATTTTATTCCATGAAATCGGGATAAGTCAATTTGGGCCTTTAGAGGGATAACCAATCCTGACAAGCTAAAGTCTATTTTACCGTATATGGACTTTGTTTCCTAGGCGCTCCTGAGGCCGTCGGAGAAGGGATCGGGCCGACTTTTATTCCATGAAATCGGGATAAGTCAATTTGGGCCTTTAGAGGGATAACCAATCCTGACAAGCTAAAGTCCATTTTACCCTCAATTAAAAAAAAAAAAATAAGACAATTTTGACCCCCATAATACACAAACTACAACCCCACCAATATATAATAGGGGCAAATTGTACTTTCCAACATTGATATAGGTTTGTGTTGAATGAAATCATTTTTTCCCTTTTTTTTTTAACAAATAAGTTATCCTACACCAATCTAACATAACAAACACAGATGAAAATAATCCAAACATACAATCCTACAACTTTGGACTATTTTTGTCCAATCTCATTCCACCAAACAAACAGAAAATGTCATACTTTTATTTATATTGTTTGTTAAACTGTGACATTTATATTTGAAAGTGTGTACATGTGTTTAAAAAAAAAATATATGTTTGCCTTTAGCAGTAAAAGAATATAAGTTCTTATGAGAAACAAAGAAAAATTTCCTCAACTATTTGGAGTAAATATTTTAATGGATTAAATTTATCATTTTAGTTTTACTTATATTATAATTTAATTTTGTTTTTCTCTCATCAACTTTGTCTACATTAGATCCAAATCCAATGTAATATAACACCCTCATAATATAGGAAATTGAAACCACACTTTATTCTTTTTCCCATATTGTCATACAGTTGACTTGGAAAAAAAAAAAGAAGAAATAAATAAATAAATATCTTATCCCAAATAAAGTACTTTTGGTTTGGACCATCAACCTTATTTATGACAATGGAGAAATTGCTTGGCTTTGGGCACATACCTTGTGAAAGATTGGAGAATGGGAAGACAAATTGAGGTATACCAAATAGAGATTTGGATAAACATTGAAGAATCTCAAAAATATTTTTAAGATTCATACATTCCCTCATATATCCTTTACTAAAGTCGAGCCGAGTACTTCGTGTTCTAATATATGATCATTTAAACAGACGGACCAAAATTTTAGTTCAAGTCGATTCGTTTAGTAAACCTAAAATTACAAACGAGTTGTTCCTGAAAATAGTTTTTTCATTCGTAAACGCGTTCAATCTGATTTTTTCGTCAGAAAATTAACTTGTATAAAAGAAATGAGAGGTTCGTGAACTCGTTTGGCTCAACTAGCGATAATAAACGATTTTCGAGCTCAAATTCATTTAATTAAATGAACAAGCGATCTCGAACTTTCACGAGTCGAACCAAGTTGTTTTGAACAACAATTCAGTTGAAATAAATCTCATCATTGCATTCCGAAGTTGGTGAAAAACATCACAGTCCAATTGCAAGATGAGTAACACATTATTAGCATTTCTTGAGGAGAACAAAATGATGATGTCTTTGAGTTTGAACCACAATTGTTAGCGGTGACTTGATAGGCCAAAAGTCGTCCTTCCAATTCAACGACTTTGTAATGCATTTGGATACGTTTGTTTGCACATATAGAGCTAAAAAACAAGAAACACAAAGGACAAAAAATAAAATAAAATAAAAATTCAATATGGTTCTTCATATTCATGTGAATAATATTAATTTATAATTAAGTTAGAAATGTGATGATTTCCAAGGCCACATTGAACATCAATTTGGTGTGAGATTGAGAACCAAACATCAATTTATATATGTTTGTGTTCCACTCTGTTGGATGAATGACACATGTAATGATGATGTCATATTTGTACACACGAAACGGAATACGAAAGTGGAGTAAGAAATCAAAACCCTCACACAACAATGAAAAATTAATTCAGTAACGGCATTAGCTAATTTGAAATGTTCCGCTTTTATATAAAAGTGGAGCATGAAATCTCATAATTCCAAATTAACTCATTTTAACCAATAAATCTAATCAAAATCGATTTTATTTATATTCAGTCGCGCCTCGTTTAGACAATACCTAGTAAGAGGAGTGAACCTATTCATAACAAAATTATCATTACTTCAATCACATAATGCATGCATGATTGTTACATAATCTGTGATCGATTGTAGATGGCTTTTGAAAGTATTTTTAGAACACGAATCAGTACATTATTTGTAAATAATTGTGAATGAGACATATATATTGCTTACAAGTTTCTAGATACTTTGCTATGACTGTTGTTTTGTCCATATACAAAACCGCTTCAACTTTGGCTTTTTATTATCAGTCCTTTGTTTGGTAAAAAGTTTATCCTTATCATTAGAGATTATGTAAGCCCCCCATTAATTTCACAAGTCACAAAGGGACACAACTATGAAGAGTCCCTATCCAAATTAATCATATTCTCATTAATTTTAGTAAACATATATATTTCTTAAGAGATGATTATTAATTAAAATCTTACTTTAATTTATAATTTTTTTAATATATCAGTCTTTAGATATTTTTTGTTCAGTTATTATCTGGGTAGCCTCTTATTTCTGCTGGGTTTTTGTCCCAAGAATCACAAATATTTGGTTCTAAGGAAAAAAAGACAATTTAATTTTATTTTATTTTTCTTACTTTTTATATGTTATTAATTATGATACATCAATCTTGTACAAAATGTGAATTCAATATTAAGTTTGATGTTATTATTTCTATCGTACAAAATAGTTTGAGTTATGGAATTCGTTGGAACTCGTAATGTCTGTCTTGGTGGACCCGTAACTAGAGTTACCACACGAATCGAGTCACTTGTAATCTTAACTCAACTAGTTAGATAATCCAACTCGAGCTCGAGCTGTTTAATTAACGAGCTAGCAAGCTCGACTCGATAAAATTTGAGTTCAACCTCGGCCCAACTTGTTTACACCTTTTGGATTGTGCCAAATTGTTCTTATTTAGGTTTGTGGCCCAAGCTTAGCTAATGGAAACACAGTGCCTGGAAAACCCAACTTCCCAATTTTGGCCTTGAGCAGATAGAAATTTTTTAATCATTTCTTGTATTTCAATCATGTACTCAGTATCAAGAGTAAATTATTTTTCTCTCTCTCTCTTTTTTCTTTTTTTTTTTTCAAAATTACATATCGAACGTAACAAAACACGAGCTTGTATAATTGACAAGAAGAAAGGCATGATAAGCAATTGCATCCATTACTCATCTCAGAGCTTTATATTCTTAATTGTTACTCCATTTATTTTATATATAACCATTTTGAGCATTTGTCTTGAAGTTTTCATAAGGGGAAACATGAGCGAAAGGCAAAAGGTTCAACGAAAAGAAGCACAGAGAAAAGAGAGAACCATGTACGATTGTTCCTTGCCCACAACTATTCTTCGTCATATAAAATCCGAGCCATCGTGAAAATGCTGCAAGTCTGGGTGGGGCCCTCCACCTGGCCTTCGAGGGTTCCTATGAACAATTTCGACATTGAATGAATAACATTAATTACATCAATGAATAACATCAATTACATCAAGAAAATCGAAAGTTCAATGTACTTAATAAAGCGTATAACATTGAGTTGATAACATTAGATCAAAGAAAAATCAGAAGTTCAATGTACTCAATAAAGCAATGAATAACATTACATCAAGAAAATCGAAAGTTCAACATACTTAATAAAGCATATATACGTAACATGCCATGAGAATCAACTAACTCTTAGCACCAAATTCTGTAACATGCATGAGAATCAACTAACTCTTCACACCAAATTCATATATCAAAGTCACCTTGTGAATCGGCCTGGCTCAAACCCTGGCACGCCAGGTGGGCCATACGGATCAAAGCGGGCCCCAGGCGGTACACCCCTGCATTGGAAAATAAAATTGTAGAATCAGATAGGAAAAGTTAAATATTCACATAATCATATGCTGATAAAGACAGACACTACCAAAAAATAATGTCATATTCCAACGAAAATCCAACGGTAATATATTTCAATGGAAATTCCAACGGATATTCCTTGAAATTTTAATAGGAATTTAATGATTCCAACGGCATTTTTCCATCGCGGAATTTTCGTTGGAATATACAATTTCAGTTGGAATTTTTATTTCCACCCATATTTCAACCGATGGAAAATCTACCGTCAAAATCCAACAGGAGAAACTCAATATTTTCGTAGGAATTTCCGTTGGCATCCATTAGAAAATTCCAATAGAAATAATAGCATTTAAATATTATTGGAATTGCCGTTGAAATTCCATTTGAAATTTTCCGTTGAAATTTCATCATTTTCTATGAAGGAATCACTCACGGAGAATTTCCAGGAAAGCCAAATCCGCTGGTCCCACCTCCAAAGAACCTCGGATCATTAGGACCTGCAAGAAAAACGGCACACGACTAGTTACAAAGCTGGTTATATTCACGATTATTTTTTTGGCTCACACAACAGAGACATTATACGAACCCACTAGCATGCTTCCACCTCCGAAATCTCCCCTATAATATGATTCAAATGTCAGCAGCTAAAGAATGGAGAACAAAAAATTAAAAAAAAAAAAAAAAAAAATCTTGAAATAGTTTCATGTCAATAGTTTAACGAAAGATGTTCTTCTTTACCTGGAAGGATACATTCCAGCCCCAGGCCCAGGAAAGAGGTCACTGCCTCCAGCACCAGGTATTGGAGGAACTATATATCTACATAAAACGTCAAGAAAACAGAAATGCAAAGTTTTCAGAACTCGAACAGACAATAAATCTCAATACAGCTTTCCCAAGTTAAAATGCACATAACTAAGGTAACAAATAAGAAGACAGTGATTGAAAAAAATCGAATCTACCATCTCAATGCATTGATGCACATTATGATTAAGTAGTGAGAAAATATTTACCCCGGGTGTTGTGGTGATATATAAGGGTCATCAACTTCTATCCCCGGACTATCATCTCTCAGTACTCTCTCGGAGCTGCAGATCAAACAGCCAAGCTTAAAAGGACATAAATTCATAGGAAAAGAAAAAGAGGACAAAAACAGTAAACATCATCTTCCAAAATTAAAAAGGTGTAACTATTCCGAGAGCTAAGATGTGACAGACAATGAATGCCCACTCAGCAAAATCTCTATAAGTGCATTTTCATCAAATATAGCCAACAATAGATACTTAGACCAAAAGCCCTTCTACAAGACTCAACAATTGTGTCAAAACTTTGGAAAGCCATAAAATTTAAGACATTGGACTAAGACTGTAACAAAAAAATGTCCAGAAAAATTTTCACCTTGAAGGTTGATTTGAAGAAGTCGAAGCTGAAAGGCCATCGAGCTTATTCAATACTTCCTTATTCAAAGTGGTTACCAGCTTCCCCAAATTCTTGAACTGTGACCCGTAATTCGTCCCACCATTATCTTGCACATACTCATCAACACTGCAGAAACCCATTCGAAAGTTAATCGAGCGTTTCGACAAACCATTAGGCAAAAAGCAAAAAGGTTGTGACTTTTTTTTTTTTTTTTCCAGTAAATATTAACTGACATACTCAATTTCAAGATGCCATGGCTCCGAGCCACCTTCCTTCAAAACGTCAACAAGCAATTTATCGTTCATCGCAAGACACTTAACCAGAACTTTCTTGGAGCCCTTCTCCGGGTTTGAGTAAACAAAGGCAAAGTTGCCCTCGACGACGTTCCAATTTTCTATCCCAACTTCATCTAAACCCAAAATCGAATCCAAACGCCAACAATTAATTCACAAACGGAAACTACGAAAGGAGAGAACTTTCTTAAAAGGGGCACGAATTAAACACGAATCGTCTCAATTAGTTGACAAAACGAAGCCTAGATCGAGGAAAATTACCGGTTGCAGAGGAAGAGAGGGCTTCGTCGGCGAAGGCGGAAGGGCCGGTGGCGTGAAGGGCGTACCCGGAGGCGACAAAGGCGGCGTGCACGGCGAAGGCAACTTTGTCGAATTTGTGACGGCATGAAGGCCGCGCCGCCCGTATGACGGCGAGTACCGATTGTTCGGTGGCCATACTGTTAGATTCTTGTGTGTGTGTGTGTGTGTGTGTGTGTGTGGATTTGTCTCTTCAGCTCGCTTTCTTCTCGAAGTTTAAGTCAAGAACAAAAGCTGAATAATTTTTGTTAGATTTAGTATAATTAGGCCCAGTTTGGTTGCTATAATTGGGCCTGATATCCTTTATTATGTTATTATTTTTGAATTTTTTTTTGGTTTGTGGCCTGTAAGCCCTTTAAAGTGAATGGGTCTAATGTCTATCCAGCCCAAAGTCCTTCATATTTCTTTTTGACGTTTTTATCTTAGTAAATTTCTCGACTCAGACAGTTTTTTTTTTTTTTTTTTCAAGAAACGGCAAGCACTTTCATAACCAAAAAACTCAAAAGAGTATGGAGTGTCGTCTGATACCTATGGAACCAAAAAATCGGACCTACCTCTTGCATTTTAGAAGAATCTAAGAGGCACAACTCCATCAATAAAACAACCGTCACAACAAAACAAAGTCCCATAAATGAGACTAGTATAAGATGAAGTTAAACTAACATATTGAAAAAAAAAAAAAAAAAACATCTCATGTACAAACAAAATAAGACCTCCCCTATCACGTAGTTGACATAATACACAACCACCCGAGTCGGCGCACGAGCCAATCCTAGCATCACAGAGATCCAACAAAGCAACAAACCAGAACGCCAAACCCGAAAACTGCGGCCACTAGCGCCGCCTAAACGGATATGATGATGATTTAATTCTCGATTCATTTATGGACTCCGAAAATCTATCACAAGAGAGAGTCGCCACAAAACTCACCAACAACCAGCACCAAAAGGCTCGAAAGGAGGGTCCAATCACGCAACGGGTCACACCCTTGCACTCGACAACTAAGGAACACGAACCCAGGCTATGGGCCTAGAGCTGACAACCGGTGACCCAACCTTAGCTGGGACAATGGCGAGCGGCAAGCGCCAACCCAAACACATTCCCGCAAGGCCTCAGAAGAGGCGTAAAAGAAGAGGCCCAATCCCGACTCGTTGGAACCCGACTCAAGTAGTGCTGCGGCAGGCCTCAGGCAGAGGAGGGACAACGGCAGCAAATTTTGGATTCCTCGACTCTGGTCCCAGCCAAGGCCAACTTCTTCATTTGTGATAATTCATCCAAAAGCTAGTGTGAGAACTCTTACCAGTTTTATTAGGTAAAACAACTAACAACAAATGACCGATCTGGGAAGATTTAATTCAATCTGTGAGAACTCTTATCTAGTCTTTTACTGTTGGATGATACATGTTTGGGTAAAACGACTGACAAGAAATGGGCCAATCTTCGAAAATTCGGTTCAACCGGCGAGAACTCTTATAGGGTATTTTACTATACACATCCATACTGTAAGAACATTGGTTTGGCATCATGTCCGACAAACCTAAGTGTTTTCTAGAAGATTTCTTGTTAAACAAGCAAAATAAATTAAAGGGAAGTTTTTCTATTTATTTACTTGTAGTTCCTAATATTTATTATTAATAATATATGGTATATATTCATTGTAGTATGTATTATGGAATCCTAATCCTTTAGGAGAAGGATTACATAATATATATCTTATATATTTACTTACCATATATGCCACATGCCATAATTAGTTCTCTTTTGCTTGTATGACAAGGAATAGGTGGCAAGGACTATGAAAGGATGAGCTTTACATACAAGAAGAGATCTGGACGTTCATGAGAAGATCTAAGGAGGATTTGGAAAGATTCACCACAAGATCTTTGAAGATTTGGAAGATCGGCTATTTTTGGAAAGTCATGTTCTTACCAGATTCTGGAAGGCAAGATTTCCATTGGAAGTTCAATTCTGAAGATCTCCAAATCACATGCACGATTTATACATCAAGGAAACTTACCTTACATGAAGGATGTCGTCCAAATCAGAAAGCAATCTATTGAGAAGGAAATTGACTCCTAAAAGGAAAGGAAGAACTTGGAGAAGACTCCACCCTAGGGAGTTGTATATATACCCTGTTTGAAGATCGAAGATACGTGGCTGAGATAATTATCTTTCATTCAATATTCGAGCTTCAAGCCTTTCTTTGTTTTATTTTGTTCACAGTTCAGTTCAAGGTTCTTACGTATCCAAGAACTGAAGCTGTTTAGTTTGTTTCTTTTTATTTCATTCAAACACTTTTGTGATCAGTACTTAGGGATTAAGTACAGTGATTAGCTCGAGGGATTCGAGAGTTAGAAGTCCACGGGACGTGGCCGGAGAAGTAATTGATAGGATCGTGTGTAGTTGTGGCTAGACTAGAAGGGAGTTCGAGTCGTGTAAGTCCAAACTATACAAGTGTGAACGGTTTATCAATGAAAGAGCTCTGAGGGGAAGTGGGACGCTTCCCTGAAGAGTTTTTAAAATCTTCGGTTTATTGCTTCCGCATTATTCAGTTCTTATTTCAGTTCGTACCACCAATAAGCGCACTCCGTGATAATTATTCGTTTCACATACGTTTCGAATTCATCGATAAAAACTTAGGGATTACAATTTTCCGATCAACTCATTCTCGCAACCGGTTTGCCAAGACACGATACAATCATTACCACCAACTATGTCCTTGCCATAACTTTCACAAAACAGAAAAACTACCACAATATACATTTTGCATTTTCATGCCACACACGCAAATAAACAAAACTTTAAAACATAAAAAATAAATAAGTAAATAAAATACAATCAAAATCTAAAATTTCATGTATTAATCCTTACATGCCCACATTCAACACTTTCCTTTTCCCTACGAGGTGTATTGGTAGGTGAACCGGTCGGTTCAACAACAGTTCTCCTTCTGGTCGCTCGGAGATAACAGAAAATCGCCGCTAGAAAGATGGTGACTAAACCTCCAATAATCACCCCACCACCGGCAATCGATTTATCTGCCCGGTGGTGGTGGTGGTGGTGGCCGTGGTGTTTTTCCAACTCCTCTTCTTGCTCGGCCACCGCACTTTCCTCGTTCTTCACACCTTCATGAGTACTCGGGCTCGGGCTTGGGCCTGAATCGTGTTTTCCAAGTTTCCTAATTGTAGGTGCTTGGGCCGATCCACGTTTCTCTTCGTTATCGGCTAATATCAAATGGGCCCCCGTGATTATCAAGCAGCAAACGAGAAAAGCACTAGACATTGTTGTGTCAATGAACGACTAATGTTTTGATCTTTTGAATGTGTGTGTGTGTGTGTGTGTGTGTGTTTTGGCTTATTTTCTCTTTGATGGGTCTTGTATATATACATAATGTGTTGGTACGACAAGATCTAACAAGCATGCATGCGTTTAATTAATAATTTAAGTTCATTTTGTCGGAATTTGTGAATTATTTAGAGCAAAAATTTGAATCCTTAGACAAAGTCAGTAATTGCGTTATTGGCTTTCCTATACGAAAATCAACGAGTGTGCACGTGAACTCATTAAACGTACATTAGCAATACCTAAGTAAGCAATTAAAAAAACACAAAATTCTTTTGTGAACTTTGAGTCGGGTCGAGTTCGAGAGTCTATTATAATGATTTTGAGCATTAATGAGTCGATTTATTGAGAATTATATACAAATTTATATTTTCAAGCCTTAACAAGGCAAGGCAAGGTAACGCGAGTTAAATTCACGAGTGACTCGTCTTCATTTGACAGGTTTTAGTCTAACTGTTACTCGGATTGATTTGTTATACTTTCATGACAAAAAATATAAGTTATTAATATTATGAAATAAATAATTTATTATGTTATTTGTTAGAACGTATAACACTTCATTATGAAATTATGCTGTCAAAATTAATTGATGAGTGATTGGAAAAAAAAATATATTAGCAATAACCAAGTAGATAATAATAAAATCAAGGGAACATATATAGTTTTTTGATTGATGATTTGTAAATAACTTTTTTTTTTTGGGTGAATATAATTATCGAGAAAGCTACAGTCCTGTTACAAAACCATTCCGTCGGAATTTGTAGTCGTTAGATCATCATGTAACCGTCATAAATAATTGATCTAACGGTTACAAATCTTGACAAAATAGTTCCGTAACCGGAGCGTAGAATCTCCCTATAATTAACAACAATTTCTCTCTTGAGGTACACACATTAGAATTTGAAAGTCGTACTCACCACCGCCAAACAGCTGTCCTTACAGCAAACCACATTTCTTTTTGTAGATCTCAATAGAATTTAATTAACTAATTTGTTAATCATCATATCGAATTACCATGTTCTTATTCATGAAGAAACTAGCTAATTGGACGAATTAATCAATATGGTTAAGTAATAAAAACTATGATAAAATTATCATAATTTGATTATATATGTATTTATTATTTATTTCTTCATATTGATATTATGGTGCAGTATACAAAAAAAAAAAAAAAGAAAAAGAAAAAATCAACAAATATTTCAACTTAATAAATTATTTTAACAATCAATTATCATATTTAGTCATAACAAATAATGTAAAGAAAATTGTCCATTGTAACACAAAAATGACTAACATTTTGTCGTGCGATAATAGGACAAACGAAATTTCCTTATGCATGCAACATTTGGTGGAATAAGTTGACTTTAATGTACGTTGATTAGTAAATTATAAGCAGCATTATTAATTATGATACAATAAATCGCGTTTTGGCGACAGCTTGGAGTGAATTATGAAAAATAAATAAATAAATAAATAAATAAAGCATAGTGTTATTTATTTAATATGAAATTGGGTCAGAAATTGTCTCCATGCATGTACTTAAAATCATATAATCATTAAATTATGTAGCCATTTTAACATCTAAACATTATGCTGGCAGTTTTCAGGCAGCATATGAAGTATATTAATAGTATAAAACTAAAGTAAAAATAAAAAACTAAGACGGCATAGTTTAAGAAAAATAATAATAATAATAGTGAAAGGTAAACAAAACATACGATAGCTAAAAACTATTAAATTTAATTATGATTCTATAAGTAATATATTTTGAATTCAATATTGCTATTTCTAGTTAATTTAATTAAAAATTATATATAAATGAGATTGACCGTACATAGAATCTAATAGCGTTGGTGATACTATTTTCCTGGAAAATGCTATTTTTTTTTAAAAAAAATTCAATATTGCAATTTCTAGTCACATAATATGGATGGATCCGACTAGAGTTGTTAAACGAAGTTGCTCGTGACTTTAGGTCAGCTCGGCTCGTTAAGGCTCGAGTTCGGCTCGGCTCGGCTCGTGTGATAAACAAGCCGAGCTCGAGCTCGTTTAAAGTTCGTTTCGTTAACTATAGTCGGACTGGCTTGACTTGATAATGCTCAAAAAGAGAATTTTTATAAAAATCCTATAGTTCGTACATCATCAAAGGTCAAATCAACTCGTTAATATAGATAAGCAAGTCAAACTCGAACTCGATTTCTAGCTCATTTATTTAACGATTTGAGGTGAGCTCGACTCGTTAAGGGCTCGAGCTCAAGGTGCTCTAATTTGCTCGACTCATTTACAGGCCTAGGTCAAGTCAAATTGCGTAAGCACACATTATTTTTAATAAACGCCCGCTTACCCGTTACATGGCTAATTTGTGATTACCGATAGATATAACCCGAACCAAAATCAAGTAACGGGTTGGATTTGAATAGGGTGAAGTGTATATGGGTCGGGTTTACATTTGCCCAAACCCATTCTTAACTCATTTGCTTCTCGATTGTTTGAAGTGAAAACAACAATATACGATTTGTGAAGCAATATCTAGACATTTGCCTAGTGAAATACTATGTTAACTTTCACTTGCTAAATCTCTATTTCTTGCATTTGCCAAGTTATTTCAGTTTAACTCGCCTCATCAACCCTAAAAAAAAAAAAAAAAAACAAACAAACAAACAAATGGACTTGGAGATGTCTGCTATGTGACGAGATTTTGGGAAGGAAAAAGATAAAACCTAATCGAGCTCCCTTTGAACCTTTATCCCCATGGAATTAGCAGTGCCAATAATGGACTTGGAGATGGACTCGAGGGACATGTACTGGCAGTAGGGATCGCTCTGCTTGATCTTCGCGATCTCGTAAACATGCTTGAGGGTGATGGTGGAGGCCGTCACGTGACCAGGCCTGCTGCTCCCGCTCTCAATTCCGGCAGCCTTCTTAAGGAACCAGGTCACGGACGGCGACTTGACGGTGAATTCGAAGGTGTTGTCAGTAAATGCAGTTATGGTGACAGCCATCGGAGTCTCGGGCTTGTATTTTTGGGTCCGGGCGTTGAAGTCCTTGCAGAAAGCCATCAAATTGAGCCGGTACTGACCCAGAGCAGGACCCACTGGAGGCGCCGGCTTGGCTCCACCGGCGGGGACGGTGAGCCGGATGGTCGCCGCCACAGGGCGTCGACTCAGGATCTCTTTGAGCGTCGCCATATTCAGTTCTGGGGGACAAAGGGATTCTTGTGGTGACTGACTGGAAAATGCTAATATAATGGGACTTGGATTACTAATTTACATATCGCTACCAATCTCGTTTATCAAATGAATACAACTCAAGCTACCAAAGATAGCCTTCATAGTATTATGCAAATAATATTCAAGAAAGTGGGTTTCAAATCCAATATATTGTGCAAATCTAATATATAAATGTAGTCTTAGTCTAGGAATTATATTCCATGACACAGACTTCCTCATCTCTATATTTTTAAATATAACTAATAAATAGTAGGTATGATTAATGCCAAAGAAACAACAATAACAATATTCCCCCATCCTCAAAGTTACAGTCAGGAAAAGAAATCCCAATTTATTCAGTCCCATCAGGTTTTTCTAAATGCGCCTTATAGTACTGCTACAGATCAATATGTTCAATTGAGTCGTTTAACCTCAATAATAAAAATATTAACTTCGATTCCATTTCTGATCAATCGAGCTTATATATTGATACGTAGAGTAAGTTAGATCATACTTGTTGTCCTTTCTATTATTGTTTTAGACTTACATATACATATAAGTGGAACTGGAACAAAATACCATATTTATGTGCTTCTTAAAGTTTAAAAGCATATATTATAAGACAATTATAGGAAATTTCCTGTTCTTTAACATTTAAAGTTGATACAGAACTAACACATGCTAACCTTTAGGATGAGGAAGCTCCATCCAACAGAATAAAAAACTAAGATCGTCAAGGCCATATAAAAACTGATTTGGTTGAAAAACATAGTTAAAACTAAAACTAAAGGTTTGATATTTCCTTAAAACGATAGTCTCCCAACATCAAATAAGAGCTAATAACTCATGAAAATAGACCAACCCATTATCTAAATGCATAAATTCATTTTTTGTTCCTCTTTAATCTCTACAAGAACATTCACAGAACCAACACCGAGTATTGACACACATACAAACATTGTGGGATTTGAACCAAGTAACAAAACTTGTCATATATCACATTGTGTTAGAGGGGAACCTTATTTGGTTAACACATCAAACAGGTTTACAAAACCTTAAAAGACAACATAAACAACTCAATAAAACAAACCAACACTTGATAGCTTCATGTTATTTTCTTTCAAGTTTCGATTCTACGAGGAGCTCCTTTTTTCCTCAACTATGTAAAACATATGCAAACTTCAGGATTTCTCAACTCAATGTCAAGTTTTTTTAATTGAAATGAACATTATACATATACAAATTAATATGTTAATCAGGAAAACTACTGCAGATTAATATACCTTCGTAATATCATCACAAAAATCTTCAGGCGAGGATAAACTATTTTCACATAAAATAGACTCAAAATTGAAATCATCATGTAATGGTAAACAAAAACTATGAACCTAATCGGCAGAGTAATTACAAAATATAACCCAAAAAACAAAACAATAATCAGTAAGAGAAGGGCGTGTTACCTGTTCGAAGTGGCAAGAGACTGAGAGACAACTCGCAATAAGAGAAGAGCCTTAACAGAGGACGGACGTACCGGCGCGGGGCCTACGCGGAGACTCACGATGGAAGCGGCGCGCGAAGACGAGGCGGGGCGCGGGCGCGCGGAGGAGGGAATGAAGGTCGAGGGTTTTTTTTGTTGCGGCCATCTCCAACCAAATCCTCCATACTCAAACTCATTTTACAGTAATTCATCTCCAATGGAAAAACTCATTCTTCAACTCAAAAGAATATTCTCGAAATATTCTCTTTTACATCAACTTTTACAATTTTTCAATATTATCCACATATTTTACAACTTTACAATTAAACTACACTATTATTTTAAATTCGATTTGGAATACATAATTTTTCAATAAGTCCAAAATTATTTTCTTCTCATTTTAATTTAAAATATATTTTAGAAAGATTATTTGAATCTAGTACTGATCTTTTAATATAATGTTATTATTTTAGATATTTGTATAAATTTTAATAAAATATTTACAAATTTTTTCACTAGATTAAAATTATCATTTGACATGCATAATATAAAATCTAATTTTGAGGATATTTTTATTGTTAAAAAAATAAATATATATATATACATATATGATGGGTCTCTTCTCAGATTTGGAACGGCCCAATGGAAAAACGTCCGGATTTGGGATGAACCGGTGCGAATGAGCTTAGATCTGATGTGATGGCGTTCGAACCGTTGTTGAGCCGCAAGAACACCTGCAAGAACTCAACGCCGGAGGGGTTTCCGGCATAGAGCCTCCGACGCTCAAGTCAGTATGTGAAAAAGATGAAGAGAGCTGCTCTGAGGGAGCAGATAAAGTATAGAATGAATGGGAGTTAGGGTTTTGGGATTACCTCAGTCCTTTATATAGAAGTGCAAAATTTACCTGAAGTCCCCAAAGTGCCCCGGCCGACTTACTGGAAATGTCCAGAATACCCTGGTCGGTTCGTATTCTGCTTACTTCCTAGTCAGCATCTAGATCCTTCCTCAACTTCTTAACTCTCTCTTAATACGCTGAGGTATATCAAAGCTGTCGAGAACTACGAGCTGCAAGACTCCTTCAGTCGACCTGAAATATCGAGTCGAGTCGACTGGATCGCGTCCAACCGTTAGTGGATCCCGATACGTCTGACCGTCGTCTTGGCAGAAATCGACTTATGTTAGTCGACAGGTACGTGTCGACTCAGACGAGAGTCGGGATCCTTGACCGTGAGTATTGTGGAGCTTTACTGGCGGAGTCGACTTTGTTAAAGTCGACTTGATAATTTCGAACCGTGATGATACGGACCGTTATGAGCCAGTGTGGCTATATCAATATATATGGTGTTTTAGACTATTAATAACCAAATCAATATTAGTTGTTATTAATTACCTTTTGTTTATTAATAGTTGTACCAATTTATAATTAAAATAAAAAAAAAGGGTTGAGATTATAATTTAAAAAGTGCAAGCGCAAAAAATTGCGATCAAACGCAAATTTGCAGTACCAGGAGGAGAGAGAATGTTGTAAACGCAATTTGGGTATGCGTTTTATATTCGGTTGCAGAGATTTTGGGAGTTTTTGGGTCGCATTTTGCGTTTTCCGTCTCGGTTGGAGACGGTCTTAGCAACGAAAATTTTCGTTGTTATTCCTATTATGAAGATTTCCGTAGCAATTTTGTTTGTTGGTATTTACTACGGGATTTAAATCGTTGCTATTTGTCAACGAAATATTTCGTTGTTAATGTAATTTGCTAACGGAATAAAAAGAAATTTATTATTATTGCAAAATTTGTTAGTATTTTGTTGATAATCTATTTTAAAAAATTGTACATATAATGAATTGTTAATCCGTATCCGTTGGTAATCCCCAATAGAAATATTTTCGTTCGTAATTTCTGTTGGTATTTTGACAATTTTTTGTAGTGATATACTCATTAAATCATGTATCCATTTTAACATCTAAACATTATGCTGGCATAGTTTAATCAAAAGAAAATGAAAAAATAGTGAAAGGTAAACAAAACATATTATAGCTAAAAACTATTAAATTTATGATTCTATAAGCCATATTGGAAGATCTAAAGTAATATATTTTGAATTCAATATTGCTATTTCTAGTTAATTAAAATTATATATGATGTGGTCGTTAGTAGTGGCTCGTGAGGAACCGACTGTGATCCAGTCACCACTGTCATAAGAAAGGGACCGACTAGGCATTATGGCAGTCGGTCAGTTGGGTGAGTTCGGCGTCTCTGCATGTCCGGCGGCCCTCAAATGCTCGGCGGCCCCGTGTTC